GCTCTCAGGCATTGTTGAAGAGGAGTGGATCTCCCTGGGTAAATTTGAAGACTTCACAGACATCCCTTCCAAGGTCGGGTCCCAGTGGTACATCTCAGGGACTGCACTTGGGGAGCTGAATCCAGGAGACCGGTCACAGCAGGACCGAGGTAAAGAGGAGCTTTGCTCTAACCCCCTGTACACTGCCAAGACCTCTTGACCAGTCCTACAATAGGTGCTGACCATGCTGCTCTTTCATTGATCTGCCTCTCTGCTTAAAGAAGATAGTGGGGTGGTGGGGTTGTGGCCTGGCTTTGATTAGGACTTTTAGCTGAAAGCTTGCTTTGCTACAAAAAGCCAGGCAGGGCTCCATCTTCTTTCTATAAAGCAGATGGCTTCTTCTTCTTTTAAATAGGGTTAGTATTTGTTGCTCATCTATGACTTTTTCTTGGAAGATAAACTTTCATAAGGACTGTACTATATCTGTTCTTGTCCCTTTAGAGCAGAGCAGAGCTCTCCATCTTGGTCCTTCTGGGTCTAGTTGGACCACCCTCCTGCACTTTTCCCACAACTGTATTCCTCTCCTCTCCCTCCAGCGTGGCAGGCTTCCCTGAAGAAAAGCCTGTCTCCCATCGCCACCATTCCCAGGATCCCAGCATGCCTTACCCACAATGTGGCGGTGGCCTCATCTACCAGCTCCTCCCTCACTTTGCCCCTGGCTCTCCCTAACCATACCCACCACTGAAACCATTTTCAGAAAGCCAAAACTTCCCTAAAATCTAAGGCGAGACTCGTCCCTGTCACCTGCCCTTTCTGTGAGGTTCTCTGCAGGCTTGTGTTCCTTCCTGACTCTTAAATCTCTGCCAGCTCCCCATGTTGACTGTTCTCTAGGCATCACTTAGCCTGTTAAAAATGTAGACTCCAGGGGCTGGTAAGATGGCTTAGTGGGTAAGGGGCTTGTCATCAAGCCTGTTGACCTGAGTTTGATCCCCAAGATCGACATGATAGGAGAGAACTTATTCCCACAGGCTGTCCTCTGACTTACATAGGTACACTGTAGCATGCCCTACACATATATACACACATACACACAAAAAATTAATGTAATAAAACTTTCAAAAATGCAGGTTCCGGCCAGGTATGGCAGCACATGCCTTTAATCTCAGCACTTGAGAGACAGAGGCAGGCAGATCTCTGTGAGTTCGAGGCCAGCCTGGTCTACATAGTGCATTCCAGGCCATCTGGGGCTACAGGGAGACCCTGTCTCAAAAAGACTGAAAAAAAAGGGACAGATTCCAGTCCCACCCTTGGGTTTTAATTCAGCATTTCTGGGCATAGTTCTGAGAAAGGTGGTGAGTGGTTGAGTGGTGTGTCTTAGAACAGATCACCTTGAATTTATGTATCCCTTCACTGGGCATCTATTGCTTGCCTCCTCTGTCCTGGACATAGGATCCCTGCCCTTGTTCTGCTCATGTTCTTACACAGCAGACAGCTACACACAGATCATACAGTGGCAGGCAGCAAAATCACTGGCAGAATGCAGTGTGGTGAAGAGAGAGTGCTGAGGGCAGAAAGACCTTTGTAAGGAGTTGGCTTGAGTGCAGACCTCTGGGAAGTCTGGGTGAGGCAGGTAGCATCTGAGGAGAGAATAACCAGAGGAAGGTCTGGTGAGCAGCACTGGCCATTGCCTCTGCAGTGGTTTGGTTCCCAGCACCCACATGGCAGCTCACAACCACCTCCAGTTCCAGGGGATATAACGCCCTCTTCTGTCCTCTGTAGGTACCTACATGTACTTGGTGCACATAAACACAGACATTCACAACACATACAAATCTTAAAAATCAAGCAAATGTTCCAGCTGGGCTGCCACAGGCAGTCCTTTTCCCAGCTTCTGTCCTGGTTGTTAGGGGATCACAGGGCTCTGCATGAACTTGCAGTCCTTGCCACACATTGAAGGTTAAGCTGGGCCTTGTGTTTGTATCTGCACATCCCAAAGCTTTCAGAATCCTCAAACAGTGATTGAGACGATACACCATGCAGGAAACAGTCCTCTACGTAATTCAGTGTGGATGTAATTAGCACCATGTATTTAAGAAAATCTTCTCTATTCTTTTACTGTATTGGTGAACAAATGATAAAAATAAAAATGGCAGTTGTTTGAATCTTAGCAAAGTTCATCAGTAACAATATATAGTTAAGCCACTCTCTAAACTCTTGTTTTGAGACAGGGTCTCAGGTAGCCCACGCTGACCCTAACACTCACTGTGTAAATGAGGTTGACCTTGAACTCTTGATCCTCCTGCCTCTACCTCCCAAGCGCTGGGGTTAGAGGCCTGTTCCATCAGGCCTGGCTGCATTCAAAATTCTTAAAATATATTTCATGGGGCTGGAGAAATGACTTAGGAGAACCCAGGTTCAGTTCTCAGCACCCGCATGACAGCTAACAACTGTCTGTAACTCCAGTTCCAGGGGATCCGATGCCCTCTTCTGACCTCCATGGGCAGTGCACCACAGGCAGGCAAAACACGTATAAAATTAATTTTAGAAATAGGGCTAGGGAGATGGTTTAGTGGTCAAAGGTACTTGCTGCTCTTGCAGAGGACCCAGGTTCAGTTTCCAGTAACCCAGGTTATGGCAGCTCATAACCATTTGTAACTCCAGTTCTAGGGGATCTGATGCCTTCCTCTGACCTCTGCAGGCACTGTATGCACATGGTTCTCAAACATAAACTCAGGCCTGCCCTACATACACATCCAAAAAATTAAACTATTTATATATAATTTCAACTAATGCTCATTTATATATGGAGCTGTTATCTTTTTGTCTTCCCAGGTCCTACTTTGAGTGAAGCAGAGAGCCAATCAGAGTGGGCCGATGTCCAGAAAAAGATTATCCCATGGGGACACAACACTCCTGAGTCTGATCTGGAGCTTGTGTTTCAGGATCGGGCTGCCAAACTTGGGAAGTCCATCAGTAGACTGATTGTCGTGGCCTCTCTCATTGACAAACCAACGAATTTAGGAGGTAAAATCATCATTTTCCAGGTAGCTCACTTAAAACTTTTTGATCCTGGAAATCTACCATCAACCCTTTGTGGCACGCTTCAGAGGAATGGGTGGGACACCATGAGCTGCACCACATGCCAGAGACCATCTTGGAAATGGGGCTGTTCTGTGCAGGGCTGTGCCGGACCTGTGAGGTGTTTGGGGCTGCAGTGCTTGTTGTTGGCAGTCTTCAGCGTGTCAGTGACAGACAGTTCCAGCACCTCAGTGTCTCTGCAGAGCAGTGGCTTCCTCTGGTGGAGGTGAGTGTAAAGTAGCCCATTACTAAAGTCTGTGTTTGCAAAGATACTTTTTTTATGCTCTGTCCTTATGTCTTTCTAACTTTTTACAATAATTTATATGTCTGGCCTTTAATAGTCTAGTGCTTCAAAGTATCGTTTTAGTTTTGTTTGTAGAGATCAGCAGTAGGGTAGTATTCCTCTCAGTCACATTTCTGTTATACCGGTCTGGATTATCAGTAAATCTTAGAAATCTGTGACATGCTGGGAGTTCTTTTTGATAGCATTTGGTCCTGTTTTCCTTTAGAAGATACTTTTAATGACTTGCTTTGTTGTCATTTCATATTCTCTCTTTTAAAACTCCCACTAAGGTGAGGCCAGCTCAGCTGATGGATTACTTGCAGCAGAAAAAAGCAGAAGGCTATACGGTTATCGGTGTGGAGCAGATGGCCCGAAGCTCAGACCTGGCCCAGTACCGCTTCCCTGACAAGTCGCTGCTGCTGCTGGGGTGAGGGATGCACTGGTCCACATCTGCTCTCTGCACCTGTCCAGAAGCTGTTGTCTTATGATTTGCCTCCATGCCTTTCATGCTCACAACTTCCTGCCAACTTACTTTCTGGGACTCCCTGGGTTTTCCTTTGGTCTCACCTGGTGGGGTGTTTGGGTAAACACAGAATTGGCCTGTAAGTCTTTGATATGCCCTTATTTATTTGTTGGAACCCAAGACTGACTCCATCTGTCAGTCTATCTCCTTCATTAACCTTCAGGACTTCTAAGAAAAAGGCATTTTCCTTAGTGCAAGGAAGCTAAGTTTTCCTCTATTTTTCTTCCACAGAAATGAGCGAGAAGGAATCCCAGCCAACCTGATCCAGCAGCTGGACATGTGTGTGGAGATCCCTCAGCAAGGTGTTATTCGCTCACTGAACGTGCACGTTAGTGGGGCTCTCCTGATCTGGGAGTATACTAGGCAACAGCTGCTCAAGTGTGCAGAGCCTGCCTGCTGAAGCCCAGGCCTCCCTGGAGATTTCATGGTGCTATGGAAGCTTTTAACTTAACTTCTGGATTAATTAAATTCTGAGATGTCCCAGGATGATTTGCATTTCTCTGTTCTTGAAACTCAATGCCAAAACCTTCTCATGTGTCTTCAAGTGTATCATTATAGATTATCACCTCTAATAAAGACTTTTAGCTAAATCATACTGCCTTTAAAAATATTTTAAGCAATTACATTATTTTTTATGTGTATGAGAGTATTGCCTGCATGTATGTGAGTGCACCTGTGTCATGCAATGCCTCAGAGGTCAGAAGAGGGCTTCAGATTCCCCGGAACTGGAGTTAAGGACGGTTCATAGCTACTATGTGGGTGCTGGGAATCAAACCCGGGTCCTCTGCAAGAGCAGTTAGTGCTCTTAACTGCTGAACTCTCTCTCCAGCCCTGCAATTACATTATTTTGAAATATGTATTTTTAAAAGATGTTTTTCCTAGAAGACAGTATTGTCAGAGTAGCTGTGCTAACCGTAAGGCAAAACGGGAGCAGTTGTTACCTACACCTTCCAGTCTGAGGAAGCAGTGAGAAGGGGCAGGCTCTGAGCAGAGGCACCTGAGCAGAAGCGTCTCGGCCTCCCCCTGCTGTTCGGCACCTTTTTACTCCTGCTGAGAAAGGACACACGTGGCAAGACATGAGCTGGCTCAGCTGTTAGGCTTTGTTTCCAAAGCCACAAATTCAGCCTTAATCACTCGAATTATGAAATTTGTCATGTACAGTTGTGCTCAAATAGTGGCTAGAAATGTCTTTTAGGAGTATAATCATGAACTCAGTGGAGTTGAGGTTACCCCTGTAAATCCTTATTAAAGGGAGAATGAAACCCATGAGTGGTGTTCTACTGTATTTTTAAAAAATATTTAATGACTTTTTTCTTTTAAAAAAGATTTAGTTTTATGTGTGTTTTGTGAGCATGTAAGTGCACCATATGCAGTCAGTGACTTTGGAGGCCAGAAGAGGGAGTCAGATCCCCCGGAGTTAGGAACGGATGAAAGTCACTATGTGGATGACTTTATTATTTAACAATAACCACCAGCCAGCAAGGACCTCCACTTTCTCCTGGGACCCTTTTAGCAATATCCAAATTCCAGAGAGCACTGCCTATTTATTTTCCTTGTAAGTTTTATTTTGAAGTATTGATTTGCAAGAGGGCTGCAAAAATAGAAGTTTCCACACCTACTTCATTTAGATGCCTCTAATGTGATCCGACATAAACACGAACATTTATCACAATCTCACTTCTTTCAGGTTGCAAAGTGCATCCAAGGTCCACCTGTGTTTATTTGCTCTGACCAATGGTGTTTCGATGCAGGCATAGCACTTCATCCCACCACAGACATCTGCTTTTTGCTGACTAAAGCTGCAGGTTTTGCTTTCCGTCCCTTTGATGAAATACCTAGGTGTCCCGACCCGCAGGACAGTCAACGTGGGTTTCTGGAGGGAGGAGAGGGGACGGAAAGGGACAAGGGATGCGAAGAATGGAGACAAGACAGGCTTTCTGATCAAGTCTCATTTAATGAACATCCACACAAAGTTTTTATAGGGAGGAGAGGGGGAAGTTGGCAGGGAAAATTCCATTGAAGTAGAGCAATTCAATTAACAGAATGAATATCACAATGACACCACACCAATTGATCACAGAGTAAATTCCATAGTAACATCACAATTCTATATAGCAAGTTATAAATCAATTAAGAGGTTACACTTGTATGATTACAGAAGAATACCAAAGTTTCTTAGCAATTACATGAGAAATGAGGGAGTCTCTCAAGCGTTAAGTGCCCAGGTTAGAACAACATGCCCGTGAGAGGCTCCCAAGTATAGTCATCTGGTTAATCTCAAACCAGGCCAGCCTTGATGTCTGAAAAACAGCTTTGCCAGGAATCAGGTCTTGCTATTTCTTGGGGTAGGGGCCTACGGCTCCCGACAGATCCCCCTTTCTTTTATATTTTAAAAAGAAGGAAAATGAGCCAAAATAATCCCTTAGGGAACTGTACCTGCCTTAGGTTGGAGAATTCCTACTGAAGCTTATACCCATCATAGGCTAAGACAGCAGCTTTGGCTGCCCGCCTGGCTTATGTAGCTATCAGCAATTCTCTCTTACCCGTCATTGGCTATCCAGTTCAGCTCTCAAGGGGACGACTGAAACACATCACCATGTGGCCTCTTTTAATTTTTTTTTTTTTTTTTTGGTGTGTGTGTGGGTCCATCCTTTGGCATTTTCTTAATTATCTTGGAATAAAGCCAGATTTTTCCTTTCCAATCTATATGTGTTTCTTTTTTGTCCTACTGAACTAGTTAGCAACCCAGGCACTGAGGACTCTTTCTCCAGGCGAGCCAGGAAACTCGTGTCTGGACCTTTGAGGAATCTCACTACCACTGTAGAAACAGAACCACATGGTGGAGACATCTTTTATTGCATATTGATATTTTTAGTGGAAAATTAAATTTGTCTACTACCTAGCTTTTATTCCAAAGAAGAAGATAAACAACATACTTTTACAATAGGCTTTAATTTTTTTTCTTAAAATAGATGTGTTACTAAATTAAAGCAGTAAACTGAATACCACTTAAGTTCTTCCTAGTTTGCATGGTGGGATCTTGTTAACGTGACCATTTTAGTTATCAAGTGCTGCAGAAAGAACAAGTACTGGTGTGTACCATGATTCACACTGCCATTGTCCCAGAATCAGCAGAGCATCTTTAAATGTCCAGGAGAAGAGTAATTTCAGTCTTTGTAAAAATCTTAGGAAAAGCCTAGGAATTCTCAGTTGACTGTGAAGGCTGAAACAAAATTTTCCTTGAATTTTAAATAGTCTCTTCTTTTGTCAAAATATTTTATCTGTTGAGACAAATAGGTTTGTTATTAGGGCAAATGATGCAGCTTAGATGTGCAAAAACACATATTTGAATGTGACAAGTTATTCAGTATAAACTATGGAAGAGTGACTTATATTCTGAGCCCTTCTCAGTCAGGGATGATGTAGTGAGCTAAGAAGCCCACAGAACCGTGAGCCCCATTCTTTCATGGCTACAGATCCTGTTCAGTGTTTGCATCTTCTAGGAATTTAAACAGATTTCTGCACACATGGAGCCCATTGGGAAACAGAGTCCACAAAGCTCTTGGGCGAGCCAGGAATCTTCAGTTTTCCAGACAATGGCCCATTAAATTCAATATATATTCTAATTTATCAGCTCTGGCATTTTGTCAAGTATGTCTTCTATGTAGGTAAATAGATAAACTGTCAGACTATTAAAGACTTAGTTTTCCTTTTATTTATATCCTCTTTCCACAGGGAATTTGAAGTCTTAATGGGGTAAAATCCTAGAAGTATAGAGGCAAATCCAAGAAAAGTATACATGTGTGAGCTGACAGTGCGCCAGGCCTGTATTGAGAAGTTCTGCAGACAAGGCAAAGGGCAGGATGCCGCACATCTGCACTAGTGGACTAGAAAACACTGCTGCTTTCATTAAAAGTCTTCACTGCATGTATTAACGGACCCTCTGCATGAATACTGCTTTCTTGCTCTCTGAGAAACCCCATTCTAGAACACAGCAGATAGGCAGAAGTTTGCACCTTCAAGTTTGATCAGGAAGAATGTAACATCCTCCTACTTAAGAGGATCAAAGGTACCTTCACAAAGGCAGCCCTGAGCAGCCTACAAAACCCTAATATAGGGTTTTTGAACATGTTCAATCTTTAACTTCATGGAAAACAGGACGACTTCCTCCCTGCTCTGAGGCTGTCAAAACACTGCCTTACTTACAGTTCCATCCTTCCCCTAAATCTTATATCACTTTAGTGTGATGGATTCTGTCCCTCTGGTGTTTGGTCCTTGGTATCAAGCTATTCACAAATCTCACTGTCTGACTTGAGATTTATCCCTGGTGATATTGGGCTAACTGTGCTAGAATGGGTGTTATACCAAGAATACTGTATAAAAAAGCATAAAATGTCCCTCACATTTTTGTGGCAAATTAACAAACTTTGACATCTATTATGCCTCTAACTGCTCAAGGGAAAATTGCATTTAGAGAACCTTTACACATTCCAGCCCAATGTGAATGGAAAGAAACGATACTTTACACTGAACTTTCAACAAGACTGATTTATTTATTAGAACTTCAATAACTGTGGAGAAGTTGGAATGCTGCAAGCCAGAATTTAATTAAAATCTGTTCTGGGCTATATTTAGCTTCCTTAACAGCCACTCCTTACCTAACATCCTGGTGATTATCAGGTGAAACCTTTTGGAATGTAGTCACAGACCACTAACAGACTAATGTCCTCAGAATCTGAGGCCCATAGCAGAGACTTTTCCTGCTTGCTATAACCCACCTTCCTGCTGTCTCCATCAATGTACTTGAAAAATGTGTTAATAGATATCCTTTGTTCTGTATAAAACTTCATGAAGCTTCTGCCACACTGGAACATGGTATTTGGGGAAACTTCAACCTGTGTTCCCAGGCCATACTGGGAACACATTACTCATATTTGACTCCAGAATAAACTATCCCTTTGAGGTGAGAGCTGTGTTGTTTTTTAAAATTTATTTTACGTATGAGTATTCTGCCTGCATGTATGCAAGTGCACCCTTTACTTGCAATGCCAGCAGAGGCCAGAACCCCTGGAACTGGAGTTAGGGACTGTTGTTAGCCGTCATGTGGGTGCTGGGAACTGAACCTGGGTCCTCTGGAAGAGCAGCCACTGCTCTTAATCACTAAGTCATCTCTCCAGACCCAAGAGCAGTTTTTGCAACAACAACCTGTCCTTAAGTCGGCACCTCTCTGAGTGTTTCTCTTCCTTCTAAACCTGCTTCTGTGAATGCATCGCTGTCACCTGGCCCTTGGTTCTCTTGGCCCTGGACTGAACAGTGCAGTCCCTCATATTTCTCAGGCGGACTGCTGTCCAGCTCAGTAAACACAAACTTTTGGACCTAAGTTCAAATCCCCTCTCCACTCCTTCATTTTGGACAATTATTTCTCCTTTATGAGGAATGACTCCTGTCACATAAAACTGGACTCAAGACCTCTCAGGGGCAATGACCATCATCACAAGGGTTGAAACCAGACATCTGACACAGAATACATTCCCACTCCACTAAGCTTCTGCTTTTTGAGAACTGGACAAGGTGACGAGCGCAAAGAAGTGACACTGACAGGGGCAGATGAGGCCGAGGCCTGCAGGGAAGGGCTGCGCAAGGACTGGACCCCGACACGTCACAGTGCTGCGCCGCTGCCGCCTTCCCAGCACCGCCTGTGTGGACGCTCGGTCCCACGAGGTCCTGCAACCCGGGCCCTCTCCCGTGACCTTGCCCGCGGTCACCCCTGGGGTGGGTGCGCTCGGCATCTGGAGGCTCTCCGGGACTTACCCACTGCTGGGGGCAGCTCGCCTCGAACAAGCTCCTCAGCTGACGGCAGCTGGCCGCGTCGTCTGCGTTGTCGTCGAGGCACCGCCAGTACGGGTCGCGGGCGCCCCAACACACCTGCCTCTCCTTCATGGACGGGGCAGCCATTCCCGCCGGGTCACACGGGGGAATGAAGGGCAAGTGGTGACCGCCGCGCCCCGCCTCCGACCCGAGGAGAACGCGGCGAAAGACAGCCGTCGCCGTGTCTCGCCGCGTACCGCACGTCCTGAGGTGCCGAGGGTCCCCAGGCGTGCGCCGCCACTTCCGGTCCCCAGCGGGCTTCCGGGTCTCCCATGCAGCAGTCCACGTTGAGGGCGCGGCGCCCAGTCGGGCTCTGCCTCTGCAGAGACGCCTGTGGGGTCCGTTCACCTACTGCAAAACTGGCGGCCGCGGATTAACCCTCCGGGCTGCCGTTCGCCATACGGAGAGGGCGGGACTTCCGGGTGTGCGCTGTACCTGGAGGGTACTTTCCGGTCTGAGTGGCGGGGCCTGTGGGCGGGAACTGTCCGCTGATTGGCACCGCGCGGGCCGCTCCGCGTGTGGTTGCTGTGGCTGAGCTTCCTCTGGATGCTTACAGGCTGGGCTACGCCAATTAGCAAAGGAACTTCGTCTAACTGCGGGGGATGTGGCGGCGGAAGCTCAGCGTGCAGGGATGGAGAGTGGCCACAGTGGCCGCGCACGCATGTCCGCCCCTGGTTAGAGCAGAGGGAAGGAGGAGGAGGGCGTGGGCGGCCAAGCCAGGAAGTTCAGTGCATGCGGGAGGATACATGTTGGTGATCTCGGAACCTCAGTTGTGCCTTAATAAGGGATGAAAAGACCTGCTTCCAGTGTTTAGAGAGGATGCTTGGAATGAGTTTGTGTCTTTCAGCAGAATGTTTACGAGGTGTTATGGGTGAATGCCAGTCAGCCCTGTTGATGCTGCCTTGGGTGTGCAGGCATGAGTTCATTTCGTATGCTAAGAATTAAAAGGCAGGAAAGAAGTGTGACCAGAAATCTTGGGGTGTACTAGGAGTAAAATCTTGAAATCTTGGGGTGTACGTATGGTATCTGGAAAAGCAGGGTCCCCTCTTGGGGTGCTTAGTCTCAATAAAAGAATTTAGGAACGGACACAAATCGAAGCTCCAGGACAAGGAACGAACTCAGACAAAAGCTTGAGGACAATTTATTACCATTTAAAAGGCAATCCCATGGCAGGCAGGCTGCAAATCTCCCAGTCTCCTGGAAGGGAGGAGGAGGATGGAGAGGAGGCCCAGAGGTCATGCTGCTTCTCATATGGTCAGCTACCTGAAAAGTAAGGAAACCTGAAGCCTGGGAGCTTAAAGGCACACGTAGGTTCTAGCCAGCATGAGCATGGCAAAGAAAAAGGCAGCACAGAGGAAAGGTGGGCAGACCTAGCTGAACCTCAGGGTGGCGTAGGCACTGCACTGGGGCCAGGAATTCTGGGAAGAAAAAGCCCGTTATTTTAAGGTGAACCAGTCTTAGGAAGGTGGTCTTCTAGCCAGGTCCCTGCCCTGTGGCACTCGATCAACCTTTAAAAGAGATGAATGCCTCCAGCTAGAGGTAGATCCCATCCTTTACACTTACAGTGTTTTGAAAGGCATGTGAGTTCATGTCATTCAGCAGAATGTTCATGAAGAAGACGTTGATTGAATGAGCCCTTTGGGCTCTGGTTCCATCTGCTCCAACCACTAGTCTGAAAATCCATGTGCACAGGGCAGGAGAGTTGGCTCTGTTGTTAAGAGCACTGACTGCTCTTGCAGAGGACCCAGGTTGGATTTCCAGCACCCACATGGTGGCTACCAACCATCCATAGCTCCAGTTCCAGGGGAATCTGATGCCCTCTTCTGACCACTGTGGGCATTGCACAACATGGTGCACTTACATGCAGGCAATGCACTCATAAACATTAAAATAGAAATAATAATTTTAAAGTAGAAGCACAGAAATAACATTAAAGCAGAAGTTAATGAAATAGACAAAAAGCAGTGCCAGAGCCAGCCATGTCCAACTCCAGACAGCCGTCGATGTGCACCTCTTTCTTCTCCAGGATCATTGACTCCCACTGCCCCCACTGGCAACACTTACACTATGGAAATCAGTAAACAAGCCAGAACTTTGCTTTTGCTAGGCTTGAAGCCAATTCATTAACAGAAGACTGCATCTAACATTGAAAAAAGAATCTCAAACTTTTTTTTTTTAACAGCATCTGATAGCACTGAACAGTAAATGAGAGATGTTAGTAATAGCAACTGTTTCAGTAATGGAAACTATAGATATGTGGACATAAGAGGATTTAAAAAAAATTTGGGGTGTATGAGTTTTGCCTGCATATATATTTAGTGCACCCATGTTGTGCAGTGCCCACAGAGGTCAGAAGAGGGCATCACATCCTTTGAACTGGCGTTATGGACTGTTTATGGGTCATGAGAACTGAATCCTGGTCTTCTGTAAGAGCAACCAGTGCTCTTAACCATTGAGACATCTCTCCAGCCCCCCAGAAAGAGGATTTTTTTAAACAAATAGGAAATTTAGATGTGTACAAATTTCAAGAAAAATATGAATAATGTGTTAGTAATCTGAATGAACACTGAAGACCTACGAATTCCAGGAAGCTGTTCTCACCAGGTGCTTCTTTTAAACTTTCACTAATACAGTTCTTCTGTGTTTTTGCTACCACAGCTTATATAAAGTCTCTATATCTTTGAAGCACCAAACTATTTGGAACTCATTTGATGAAAAATTGACCTAAAATGACATGAGACTTTGTAGTTGCTATTTATCACACGACTGCAAACATTTTGCTGTAGAAATATTATTGATATGGTTATGGGCACCATGTGACCTCTTGTTGAGGGTATTATACAGTGTATGTTGTATGCTCTCCAGTACCTTTCCAATTTTTAAAAAAGTCTATCCCAC